GCACAAGTACATTTGGGTGGAAGAAACATCATTTTAAGTACAGCTGCTAGCCCTGATCTCTCCTGCAGTTTGTTCAATGTGACAACTTTAAACTTATTTTCCAATGACACTGCTCCACTCAGGGTTAAAATATCCATGACACCTCTCTGGTGTTTTATTGAGTTATTTGGCAAACTTCATTAACTTATTGATGACAATACCCTGACAGGAGTTAGCAGTTACATGTTACAAGCTCATATTTGATTGGCAAAGAGGAGAGTGCCACAGGCTACCTTCAATGGCTAACCCATCATGATCTGCCTACCTCACTGGGTGTATGGGACTAGGCCAATAGTCGAAAAGCAGATGGCAAATGAGTCAACAAGAAAAGGAAGAGAAACAAGATGAACACCCAAAACTCTGCTTCAAGGACACATGCAAGAAAGCCATAAAAGACTGGAATTGATCCCAGTCAGTGGAAAATGTTGGCAGATAACAGAAAGAATTGGCACACCTCTCTTCATTTCCCAGCTATATAAAAAGAAACAGAGGAAAACTGGCAACTCAGAACCATCCTCCGACATCACGTACAAGTATAACAACTTCGCCAGAATTTGCAAATCCTACATTGGACTCTTCAGCCACATAAAAAGTTGCATCTCTGCAACATAAATAAGCAGCAATTTCCACCATCTCTTGCAGATGAATGGATGGCAGCAACCCTGTCAATATATGTCAACCATTATAGGTTATGCCTTCCCATACAAGTTACACATTTAACTTCTCAAGGCTCTGTTCTCTATCTAGTTAAGCCTCTTTCACAGAGTTAGTCTATATCCAAGTTTTTTACCGCATGAAACATTGGGCTCTCAAAACTAAGATAGGGCAAACAGATGTCCATAATTAGTTCACCTAGTATGTTTGTGACTGAATTTTCAACATTAAAACAGGCAAGACTGCCTACCAGTATAATGATATCACTATGTTCATCTGAACATGGGGCTCAAGATTGAAGGTGTGATGTGTCATTACTATTCTCCTGACATTAGCAGCTCATCTTTCCTCAAGAGAGGGTTTCAGACTGTGTAAGCAGTCATCCATTTCTCCCAAGATGCTTACTGATCCACTTGATAGTGAGGTGGCTCCAGTGAGCAGACTACATCCTCCAGCCACATCTCTGCTCTTTTCATCACTAACAAGTCTATTCACCATCAGGTTTCTGGAGTGCTAGATGTCAAAAGCCTCAGTACTCTACAGAATGCCCAGATTCAGTGACTTTCAGTTTCTCAACATTCTTGCTTTCTAGATGCATCGCCCATAATATCAATAAGGTGTATAAAATTTGCAAATCACCATTGCTTTACTATATTCCAAGTTATTTAATCATAAAAATGGAATTTCTAATGTGATGTATCTGCTACATAGTTTGTATGGCTTGTTTACTGTTATGAATATTCTTAATATATATATATATATATATATATATATATATATAATAATATTATATATATATAATTATTATATACTAACACATATAACTATAGTACTAACTAAACTACTACTAGTAAGTAGTTAAGTAAAGTTAGGTA